CCCCAATCGAACCAAATCGGCCAGACTATCAGGTGTAAAAATACCCTAAATTACATGTGTCAAACTCAAGACCTGGTGGCCGAATATGGCCCGTCATAGCTTTTCATGTGGCCCTCTAGAGTCCAAATTACATCATTTTAACAAATATGCAAAATTTAAGAGATCATCACAGTTTTTCTGATTTTAGTGCAAATCCTTCTCTAAATTGATTGAATAAAAAGTTGCATTTAACCTCATAGATTAGCACAAATATTGTAAAAATTTCTTACAAATATTTTTAAATTAGTACCACAAAATTAGTGATTTTGTTTGGAAAAAAATCACAAAAATATTCACAAAATCCCGGATGTGCTGATCAGTGAGAGAATGTTCAAAATAACTAAATTTTAGTACAAACTTGTTGAATGTTGAAACAAACAGCTATCTATTAATATTTTAACCATGCAGGGGGCGTTCCCTCTGGAGGAAATCAACACATTCTGGCAGAACCGGCCTTTTAAGAACATTCAGATTTTTATGTGGCCCAAAATGAAACTGAGTTTGATACCCCTGCCCTAGATCAATTTCCCTTTGCTGTTTTGGTGAAATAAAATCAAACTGTAGAACTATCCCAGTCAGCATACCTAGATGGGCTCCATATGGGAAAAAAGAGGGCAGACAAAATGGGTCCCAAATGGGTTTGTCTGCAAAACATGCCCCATGTTTTGCCTACATGGGCCATGTTGGGCCTACATGATGTATTCAAATCTTACACTTTGTCAATTGACTGCAAACTGAATCCTGAATATTACTACAGCTTTGTGAAGGGAACCCTCCAGTACTACTACAACAAGGATGAGATGGTCCAGGAAGACGAGGCTGTACAGCAGTGGCTCTGTGAAATAAATTCAAAGGGGTTCCCTAATCAGAAAAACACAGGTGGGTCTATGTTTCCATTCAGGCTAGAAAAGGTCCAGTAAATACTGATCATTTCTTTCACTAATTTTCAGGTATTCCAGAAAGTTTCAAAACTGTAGACGAGCTGGTGAAGTTTGTCACCATGGTGATCTTCACCTGCTCAGCCCAGCATTCGGCTGTGAACAGCGGACAGGTGAGCTGCTCCAACTGCAGGGGGCGTTCCCTCTGGAGGAAATTCAGAAGGAGGAGACATTCAGATCTTTGGACACCAGTTGGTGGTCCAGTTGGGAGCTAAACAAGGTTCAGCGTGTGGAGCAAACAGACTTCTATCCTCCTGACTACCAGTAGTTCGTTTTTGTCCTCTGTACAGGACATTTCTAAACTTGAATATCTCCCACCCCCTGCATTCTACTGAATTAATTCCTTTTGATATCTGGAGAGGACATTTAGGGCTTTTCAATGATACCACATGTGAAGGGGTTAGGCTTTTGTACGTATCTTTTTCTAATTCATAAAAATGGCGTTCATCAGTAATAACACATTTTATGGGAAGAGACAAAGTAAGTGCATAAAACCTTTTACTACTTTACAAAGACTGTGGGATTTAAAAAAAAATGGTGATTGGACAATATTTTTTTCCCTGGTAGTCAGGAGGCTATAATGACAATTAAAATTGACTCCTTAGATCAGCAATAACTCCACTGTGTTGGATTAGGACAGCAGATATAAGCTCAGGCTAATGAAATTAGTGAGAGGTCAGGTTCACAATTTAGCTTGACTTTAATAGTGAACTGATGTTCCTCCATACAAATATCCCCATTCCAGTATGGGTGTATATATGAGTGTGTGTGTGTGTGTGTGTGTGTGTGTGTGTGTGTGTG